TTAAACTATCCAATTACTGAATTTATGTGTTTGGATCCCTTCTTCCTTATATTTTCAAATTTTCTCAATGCATTAAGATTCCTTTACAAACTGTAAAGGAATACACTCTTAAATGCTTTGATTATGATGTTTTGGAAGCAGTCCCAGAACTCAGAGAGAACCGTTCTGTTATATACTAAAATCTTTTCTTAGGAATACTAGAGTTTTTCTCATGAGGTAGCACACTGAAGACATTTTGAAGGCCATCTATTCCTCAAGTGATTTAGGCCCGTGAGACCTGAAACATGTTTGGAATTTGAGAACTACTTTTAAACTTTAAAATAATTTCAAGCAAATTTTGTTGGCTAAAGAGGAACATTTCATACCTTGGCAGTTGGATAATCAGCCACGTTTCCTCCTAGGCAGAAGGTGCTGAGAGATAAGCTCCTTTAAATGCCTGCAACCTAAAATACTGCCAGTACTCTGAAATACCAGAGCACGTGCCCCAGAAGAGAAGAGCACCTGCGCCTGTGTCACCCTGGCAGACACCGTGGCATTTTAGCATTCACATCCCTCTCCAAAGCAGCCAGGCTCTGTTGGGCAAGCCATCCTGCTTGGCACTACTGTCCTGGAACAGGAATCTTAGCTGGGGGTAAAAATTAAAGCATTCAAAATAAAAAACCTACGCGTATATTTTTCCTCGTTATTTTCTTTTTTTTCCAAGTAATGTGAGAGAAAAGATTGGTTTTGAAGCTGTGCTGTGGGTGTATCTTGTTCTGAATCCATACTGTGGCTCTGAGGGCTCAGTAGCTCCAAGAAACTTTTGTTCAAACATTGAATGCTTTGAGGCCTGGAAAGGCCTTTGGCATAACTTAAATATGTTGTACAAAATGCAGTGACTTAAAAAATAGTAATAATTTTAATTTAAAAAAAAAAGTCAAAAGAGGACCTTGCTTTAAAATCACGCTAACGTCCTACATACTGCAGTTTTGTCAGTTCCATCCTCAGTTACCTACAAATGAGTAACTACTTTATTTAAACAATTTAAAAGGCCTCTGCTATCTCACTTCATAAAATATGTAATATTGAATTCAACTCAGGTCCACTGTTAATGTCCAATCAATGTTAAAATGTGAAAGGCAAAGAATTCTGAGCTGATATCAGGCACAGTAAACATTTTACATTTCTGAGTAAACCATACCACTCCCTGTAGTTTGATTTTAATACAAATTAGTCAGATTTACTTCAAACTCCTCCTTTTTGACTTCTGTTAAGCTTCCCTGCTCTGACACACTCCACCCATACCTCACAACTTTTCCTTCTATACAGAACTTCCCATGGTCCCTATAACCATAAATGCGTACATAATTTACTTTTGTCACTGAGCCAGCGGAACAGGCACAGTATCCCCTTTAGCTACAACAACACTTGCAAACAGGCTGGACATCCAAAAAACCCATTTCCGGTTTGTTCTGTTTGCAGAAATAAAATTATTATTTACCCCAGTCAAAAACTTTTTCCTTAAGGTAAGACATAACTATTTTTCAAAGTTTCAGATGCACTTAAAGGTTATATGTTACATTAATTCTTCCTAAAAAGCCAGGCACCTTAATACCTAACAGTATTGCTACATCATAGCAAATAAAGGATAATAAATAACCTTAAAACAACTATTCAACTGGTCAATGTACAGAGAGCAAACATTTTATGGAAAATATTTTCTTTCATATAAGGATGCTTCTGGGTTGCTTACTAGAAAGTAGTAATGTGGTCTTACTGGAACTAATACTGACTAAAAAAAAAAATACAGGTCTGATTTTCAAGGGGGAAAAAGTGACATAAAGAGACAATTTCCATCAAAAAATGAAATAATATTGTACAGGATCTTATACTCCTGACTGATCCAATAGACTAACAACAATCTGGGTTCACAGCTGGGTGTCATCCCATAAACACAAGCCCTATACAGCTTCCTTTTCAATAGTTACAGGGGTAAAAATAAATAGAAACAATAAAAGGTTACTTGATCTTGCAAACATGATGCAAGCTGGATATTTGTTAAGATTAATTAACTCACTGAGAGAGTTATAATTTCAGGGTTTTTCTTATTTCTATAATTCTGAGAGGCATATTACAGAAATACACAAGGAATCCGATGGCTCAGTCATAAATCACTTGACATTTTTAGAGAGAAAGGAAAATTAAAATTTTAGCATGAAGCAGCCAGATCGTCACAGCTCAGTGAGAGGAAAAATAAAGGATCATGAACTGGTGGTATTTTAAGAAGCTGTTATAGTTGGTGTTTTAGAAGTACTGAAGACTAAATATCTCAACAAAGGATTTGGGTGTGGGATGAAAATAAGTAAATAAATAAATAAATAAAAGCAGCTTTGCCAGCTTGTGCTCCTTATCTCCAAAAGAAGACTCAAGCCTATCTGTCAAGCAACCACCGCTTCATACCCATTCTCCCTCTGCAGCCTCTCTTTGTGCCAGCGTTTTCAGCCAGAATAGTCAACAAGTGTTATACAACACTGGTTACTCAAATAAGCAAGTGAGCCGTAAAAGGAACTTCAAATTTGGCAGTATGAGCAGAAGTGAAAAACATGCTGAAGATGAACTGAAGATACAGAGCAATATCAAGAACATCAGAAATATGGAAATGCGACTGAAACATTTAGAAGGAAAGAAAAGGAGATCCCAGTACAAACTACTAATCTAATTATTTAAAATGTACTTCAGAGACAAAAGGAAATTTTACAAACACACTCAAGAATTGGCTAATAATTTTAGCTGAAGAATAGTACAGTGAACTTTTAAATGTATTTGATAATTAAGGTTCCATAAATAAGACAGTAAGTGTCCCATGGTCATTAAGTCGTGAGGAAAGCAGCAGGATGAAGAAAAACAACGGAGAAGAGCAAGAGTACAAGACTTCAGGTGGATGCCTTCGGTATGTAAGGACACACTCGGACAAAAGCACATATATATGTTTACACACAGAGGCATGCAAGGAGAGAGCAAGTCTGGCTATGATGATACAGGATGAGCAGAGAAAACAAACTATTCTGTGAAGAACACTTGCATAGTGAAACAAATATCCAGCTCATCTGTTGATCCAAAAATAGACATTTAAAAATAACCACTGACACCCACAATCTATTGGGAGTGTTCTCCAATTTGAAGCATAAATCAAAATAAAATCAAATAAAATACTAATCAGAAATGAGGCGTATTAGATCTGTAATATATGCAGGCTTCAGTGGCTTAGCATTTCCTAAGCCTGGATGACAGCGTATTTGTTTACGCACAGTATTATGGAAGAGTCATCTATTGAAGGTCAAACCTAGACAGATGTGCAAGGATTCAGAATGAATAACCAAGAACGCAGCATTTAATGTGAGTTTTTCTGTCATAGCAAAGGAAGTTATCTCGGCAGAGGAGATCTTCCACTTTGGTGCCAGATAAGAAATTAATCCCTTCTGCATTACCCCCTTTAGTGTTTGTGGCTGACATTTGTAGTGCACCACAGCAGTTGTTGTGAGAAGCTGGGAACGGAACCATAAAGACCTACCACAGAATTTGAACTATTTGCAAAAAACATTGATATATTTAGTTGATAAGCAGGGATTTAGATAAGGCCTAAATATAAGACAAATTTTTAGCCTAAATACCTTAAATATGTTTACATATGGTATGTAGAATAAGGTACTGTTGTGTTGCAATTACAAACGTACGCTAGGGTTTTGTACTCAGAAGTTTTTGTAACAGCTTAAAAACAAATAACTGACAAACCTCAACTTGTTGTGCTACTGAACGCATGCAGAACTCATTAAAGTCTGTTGAGAAGAAATGATTAGCGTGCGTGTAAGTAACCAGCCAAAGTCCAAAGCTCATCCCCAGGCAGCAGTTAGTCAGCCCCTTCAATGATAAGAAAGTTCAGGAGGCACTACCTCCCGCCTGCTCCCGCACACGGACGCGTTTTTTGCCTCCTGCCTCGCTTCTGTTTGAAAGGAAAGTGGAAGATAAGCCTGTCTGAACTGACATACCAGATGTTTCTGTAGGACTGGCTCTGAGCAGTGTACTGGGAAGCCTGAAGCAACCACAGCCAACCAAGCAACCATGCCAATGCGCGTCCCACCGTGGGGAAAAGGTGTCCCCATAAATACGGATCAAGCAGCGAACAGTGGAAGATGCTGACCGTCGAGGAGGGAATCATGCAAAAAACCACAACACAACACCAATACACGTACGTGTGAAATTCTTCTTGACTCACTTCCTTGTGACGGGTGGTGCTGGGGTTTATGCGCAGCATGAAGAAAGCTGATGTGTCCTTACGAATACACAAATATAGCCCACAGGTGTAACTTTCAATATTCTTCCCTAGGCAGTGCAAAGAAACCCATCTTCTTTACCAGCACAGTATCGCTGCTAGCAGACGAAGGAATTGCTGACATCTGTCTGGAGTCCGATACTGGAGGCCAGCGGGACTCGAGGAGAGCACGCGTCTCCTACAGCAAACGCGCAGCTGCCTTCAAACCACAACCGGCCAAAGCAAAACCACGCCTGGGGAGAGGGCGCAGAACAGCGACTCTCTTGCAGCAGGTATTGCTCTTGTGTCCTGATACGAAGGACACGCTGATACTACATTTGAGAGCGGGTAAAAATAAGAGCACAAAGTGGCTGGAAGCCTTATCCTTTCAGAGCATCACGTGCCCTTTTGCTCCTACCCTACCTATAACAACACTAAAAGCAATGAAGGATTTCAGGAAAAGTGATGAGCAGTATACTAACTGACAAAAAAGCAGCCGGTTCTGAGATGAATAAATGTATTTCTATATGCATTCTTGTGCGTACAATGTATATCTACTTAAATTTCCCAATTTAAACTGTAGAACCAAGGATCTTATGTCAACTTTTACCTAGCTGGAAAAACTGTGCAGCAATTGTAATAGTTCTGTGGTGAAGATGGTTTCAACGTAACTTTTTTATATGCTCTAGTCACCAAAAAGCAGTTGTTTTACCTCTTGATATTGAGCAATGCCCAAGGTATCCCAGTGGGAGTGTTGAAAGCAGGTAGCAATTTCTCTCCAAGCTCCACTGCCTTTTTTCGGAAAACCTGGAAGTTAAGAAGAAACGAAGTGTTGGAAAACGCACTAAATTCATTTAGAGAATACCGTTACGGAGCGTATAGTGCAAGTCATCTCAGCACTACGAAGCATCCCTGCTTTTTTAGAGTGACACCGAAGGAATGAAGCAGCACATCCCATTTTCCATGACGCACAGTGACGGGAGAACTCAAATCACACAGCGACGATGCCCAGACGACCTGCGTCTGGCACGACCGGCATCAAGCCCGAGACGTCAGCGGAGCCAGACCCGCTCCGGTTTGCACAGAGCTGCTCGCCGGGTGCTCCGGGTTCAGGGAGGGAGGAGAAGGGCTGCTGGATCCAGGCTGGCTCCCCGGCAGCTCCCTGCGCCGAGCGACAGACACCTCCTCCCGGAGCAGCGCGGATGCTGCTGCAGAAACGTCGCCTTTGCTCCGTGGGAGGTTTATTAGCGGTGGCTCAGCGGGCCGTGGGAACCCGGGCTGGATTGCCATGTACCTGCTGTACTGCAAAAATATGCAGCACAGGAGATCTGCGGCAAAAACACATACACACCCCCCAACAAAAAAAAATTAAAAAATATATATTTTATTTTTTTTTCCCAGCACCACAGTCTTTATGGACTCAGGTGGCTTATACCCAGATGGTATCGATGCCATGATTAATCCAAAAATTGGAATATACCCCTACAGATAACTGAGACTTAACTAATCTTTAGCATCTAAAGAGTTTCAGCTTTCATCTTAAAAACAAGAAGCAGAAAGACCCCAGATGCTTAACATGTGCCCACAAGAATGACAAAAATATAACACCAGGAACTTTTATGTCCAAAGTAACAGTTACAAAGCCAGAACAAAGAAGATTTTGCTCTCCTTCAAGTGCCAGCTCGGCTCAGGTTACATTAACCTGACTTTTTGAGCAGCGAGTGCTCTAGTAAGAGAGTTTTTAATTAGAAGCAATACTGTTCCAACTTAAATATAGAAACCTATTTAGTAATTTCAATATGTGGATGTTCAAGGCCTATTTGCTTGGAATTACACTGGGATCCTGCGCAACACTGAAAGGGATTATCCCAGGTGTAGTAGCCAAAATAGCAAAGTCACCTTCATCGTTCTCTCTTTCTAATAACGGCTCCCTTCAATGCATTTTTTTTCCCCTCAGACATATTTATGATGAATTTTTATTTATTTATGTATTAGAAATCAACTTGTACATCTGATGCATCTCATGGTGTAGCCAAGTACAGCACAGCAAATTTTGGAGAAGGAAAAAGAAAAATGCATATATGTTTATTTGGATACATAAAGACATTTGCTGGTCAAAACGAGGTAATGATGAAATTTCTTTCCACACAAATAAAATACAATTTATAAAATCCCACTTTCTAAAAGCCACCTTGAGGAAAGGTTTTTCTTACTAAAAAAATATGTGACCAGGAGAGAATATAAAACTCTGGGATAATCACGTTACCATAAGGAAGCTCCAGTCTACCCCACAGTCTCTTCATATGACACGGATCTCAAGATTTCTGTGACAGCAGTCCAAGATTTAGCATTACAGTACAAGATATTTTGAGGGAGGTTAAGCAATTTGAAGCCAAATTATGGCTGGAGTCAGAAAACTTTTTCGAGTGGATTGCATGGGAGCACTAGGAGAAACTCGAAGCAAGGCAGCAGGGAAAACAATTTGCTTGGAAATCCCTTCATAATCCATGTTATTTCTGACTTCCCGGTTTACCAATTGTGTGGATTCTGCTGAGAATTAGTTACGGATTTGTGATCTTCATCCAGCACATAATTCAGTCTCCCCAAGGGTTAAAACCTTTGAGGGACACTCAGAAACAGCTGGTGCAGAACATAATTATCTCTTAGTAGACCTCCTTGAGAGGAGCAAGCGGCAGTAATCCCACCAGGAGCACACAAGCTTTCCCCTCCTTACCTACGCAGCCACATTTTTCACCTTGGTCTGTTGAACCCAAACCCCTGCTTTGCTCTTTCAGGACAAGGGAGGCCTCCCCAGCCTTTCACAACGTACGGTGCGATCAACTCATCAGCTTACTTTAGCATCTCTGCCCCGAAACACCAGAGTATTAACAGGAGAGCAGTCACTATGACCCCCCTCAAGCGATGGGCACACAAGGACCCCGAATTTCTATAGAAGCATCTGCTGTGCAGCATAAACCCCTGCCTTTTGCCATATGCAAAGGGGGTAGATATTTTATTTTATGGAATGTGGTTAAAGGTGCCAAATGTACTCTTTTTAGATGCGTATTTAACGACAAGAGATCTCCCTTTCAAAAAGCACGTAGATATGTAACCACAGCAGTGGCAGCAAGGCTCAGTAACTGCTGTACCTTACAGGCTGTATTAATCCTTCATCATTAAAAAGATTACATGCAAGCTCAGAAAGAGGTCTGTTACAATAATTGCTTCTGGACAAAAATGTGACATTTTAGTATCTTAATTAAAGATTCGATGTACAGCGATAATGCTTTACTTTCAAATATTTCTACCAACTCTCACATATTTTTTCAATTCTATTGTATTTCTTTTATAAAGTAACAGCCCAATTTCTTTCAAAATAGAATTGCCTACTTCATGGAAATGTAAAAAATAACAGTTATCAAAAAATAAACACATCCAATATGAAGCAGTAAGGAAATATTGTTCCACATATGGATATGCAAGGAAAATGTAATTCACTCCTGATAAGGACAGTGCTCTGAACACCAAAATGGGAACCAACGTTGTCCAAAATGCACCTCTTCCAATGTAGTAAACAATTTTCCTAGTAGGCAACCATTATACAACTTTGGAACAAGTCTTGAGGTGAAGGTGCACTTCTTGTTTACAAGAGAATTTCAACAGGTTATTACTAATGCATGCTAGTGATTTTCCTTCCCCTTCCAAAGTTACGAAAAAGCCAACTATGGACGTTATCCAATTCTACCTCCAGGGTAATTTAACATGGCTGAACAACTGACTGCTAATCACTAGCTTATACGTAGAACAGTATAGGCAAAAATGACAAGAATACAACAACCCCTCTGAATGACCGAACACAATAAATAGCAACTTCCCGCAGCAAAATTATGCTCTTTTGGAAAGGGTAAAAGGGTGAAGATTAATAAAGGAACCACTTTATTTCTCAATTTGCAGCTTTAGCAGTTAAAAAATAATAATAGGAAAAGTGGGTGTTGTTAATTATTGCACACCATCCACAGTCTTCACTGTATTTTTCTTTTGCAGAAACATCTAATATTGGACAAGAAATAAATATCATACAGGGTAAGGTATTTTTTCGGATAATAAAAGTAAATAAACAATAGAAGCTTCTACTTAATATCTCTATTGCTGACATGAATTTCAACTTTTTGCTAAGCCCTAATCTCTCCCAACTATTGCTCAGTAAAGTCATTTTTTGGCAACCAGAAAGTATGACAGCCATTACGGAGATGCACAGAGTAAAGGCAGAAATGACAAGAGCACAAAAACGAGAGACATTATGTATAATAAAGGAAAAGATCTACAGCAAAATTTGCCATCCCAGTGGTTATCTTTAGAGGCTCGAGGACTTCTCCCAGCCTCCTCCTCATGGATGCTGAGCCAGCAGTAACGAAGGCTTACTTACAACAAGTATTCCATCAGGATCAGGCCTGGCAGAAGCCATTGCAGCCCCATGCCTGCACCCACCCTTCAGCCCACATTTAGTACTCATGGTTTAAATATTTACCTACAAGTCTAAACATCTACAAACCACTCCCAAGAACCCCATGACTCGCTCCACGGTTCTATCGTATCCAGACTGCACACTTTTTAAGGAAGAGGGACTGTGGAGTTATTTACCTGACATATCAGCTGTCCCTTCATCAGTAAGCCACTGTCATCAATCCCTTCTTTTAAATTGAGGATTCAGAGGAAAGTACCATGGCTACCTTTAAAAAACAACCAAACCACTAAAAAGGGCACTGACATTTAACTCAGCTAGATACTACATGTCGTGGTTTAACCCCAGCCAGCAAGTAAGCATCCCGGTGTGGGATATACTGGGCATGACATCACATGGCATGGAATGTCCCTTTGGCCAGTTTGGGTCAGGTGCCCTGGCTGTGTCCCCTCCCAACTTGTTGTGAGCCTCCAGCTTTCTCGCTGGCTGGGCAGCAGAAGCTGAAAACCCCTTGACTTTAGACTAAACACTACTTAGCAACAACTGAAAACATCAGTGCCATCAACATTCTTCTCATACGTAACTCAAAACCATAGCACTGTACCAGCTACTAGGAAAACAACCAACTCTATCCCGGCCAAAACCAGGACACTACACTACAACAAAGAAACTTATTCTAAGTGAAGCACAGCAATTTAGGGAAGAAAATGATAATTGAAACCAGTCAGAAACACATGATCAGCGTGTAATGCTATAAAGTTTGGTAGGATACTGAATACTTTCCCAAGCATTTCTCTCCAACCTAATTTTTCCCAGAAGACAGATTTTGGATGTGAGAGAAACCTTCTTTTTAAACTCAAAGTATTACTAACATTTTTTAAAAGGTTTATGTAAGATCTCTAACAAACTTGTATGATACTGATTCACACTGTGTGAAGGTCCTGTGTAAGGAGGACTCCTCCGTGGAATAAGTACACAGACTCCTTCACACTCTGCAGTCCTACTCATAATTAAAATTAGCACTAAAGCAAATTAGATACTTACTATAGTCATATAATAGATTAGACAGAAGATAGAGTTACTACATTTTCTACTGAGATCTCTGTTTATATTAGCAGGCTGTGAATTGTTAGTTAAAATAAGCTCAATGCTCAGTAAAGCAGCACCTTCCTTGTTCTTTTGAGTTACCAAGCTCAAGTGCCTTACAAACACAAAAGTCACTCCAAACCATCACCATTACTCCAAGCCAGCAATTTATTGAACAACATTTGAGTAAGCAGCAACACGTAAACAAGAAACCCACCTCGCTGCTGCGCACACTCGGCTTTCCTCTTACTGTTTGTTC